GGGTTTTTATTTATTAATCATTCATTAACCTGTAAATTAAGATAAAACACTTTTATTAGTGATATTTTTATTTAAATAAAATAGATAATAAGGGTATAAAATATAATAAAAATATGATTATTAACAACTAATCAAAAAGGTTAACATCCAATATAAAATACTGACAACTAATTCTATAAAAGGATAATATCCAACACATATGGTTAGCTACAAATACAAAAGCTTGACAACTGACTCTAAACCTTCACAACTAGATAGGCTCATTGCATGTTACTCGGTTTTGACCTTCCATGTGGTATTGGGAACACTTAACAGGCCGAATATTTAGTGACTCGTTGTTCTTTCGTCTAGTACATGATCTTTCACTTCTTTTTTTATTATGGGGAGACTTTAACTGACGGTCTTCTAGTCGTACGACATGCTTCTTAGAATCTAGAATAAGAAATAGAATTGGTTCATAACTTCTTCTGAATTCTTCAACAGTCATACACCAGTCACGATAATTATAAATATCTCATCTCATCCAAGTAATTGCAGCACAAGCATGCTTACAAGGAATGCACGTGATATCCCAACCTGCATGAACATGTCCATTCTTTTCAAGTCTACATGGTACATTTTTTTATCTAACCTCCACACTATCTTTTGTGGAATATTTAACATGTAAGCAACTTCCTTGATAAATATTATCTCTCAATACTATCCCAGCTTCTGGACAAAAGTATCCGGTCCATTTTGCTGCTAAAACCCTTTTATCATGTATGTGCTCTATGATTTGCTTGTGTGCCAATAAAGTTAAGATTCATAACATTCATGTATTTCTTATCCAACTATTAATGGACTCAACAACAATTGAAGTAACATGGTCATGTCTGTAAATCACACAAAAAAACTCATAAGTTTGACGACTAATATTTTAATGTATAACTTAGCAAATTAACTATAGCCTTAACAACTGATGTGTATCATTAAGAATTAAACTGTAACCGTAAAACTAACGTGTGTCCTTAATAACTAAACTATAACCTTAACAAAAGATATGTATCCTTAAAACTAAATTGTAATCTTAACAATTAAGTTGTATACTTAACAACTAACGTATATCCTTATCAACTAAACTATAATATTAATAACTAACATATAAACTTAACAACTAAACTATAACATTAATAAATATTTGTAACATTAACAACTATGCTATAGACTTAACAAGTAAGTTGCAAACATAACAATCAATCTGTATGGTTACAATTAATCTATAACCATAACAACTAACCAAAAAATCAACAACAAACTAAATTAAACGATATCATATCTTATACTAGGAAAATAGGCATTTGCCCATCTTCTGGGGAGTAATTCATTGCAATAATATAAGCGATTTTATCTATCAAAACCAATTTTATGTAATCTTCCCATTCTGCAATTATGAACTTCTAAGTTGCAGATTGTAACAAGTTACTCAATATTTGAACATTATTTGCTTTATGTCCCAACTTCTTCATCTTTCTGTTTAAATTTTTGACTAGATGGAGAACAGGCCTAGAATGTAATACATTTGGAAGGAATTCTTCAATCGCTACTCTAGTACCCTTGTCGGCATTAGAAATTATGACCAATTGATGTGGGGGATTGTAAGAATTTTCCCTATTACATAGTATAGACCACACTCCTTGTAAGAATCACTTCCAATTTTCCTTATTCTCTTAGTCACATATACAATTAGTAAGAAAATATTCTCTGGTTACCATCGTATCTTGTGACACTAAGTAATATACTTTTGTAGTGGTCTTTAAGAAATGTCCCATTCAAAGACAAGAGAGGCCTACATCCATTAGTGAATCGTCTAATACAAGCATTATAACTTATGAACGAAAGCCTAACCTTGCCGTCATTATTATAAATGGCAAAGCTTCCTAGATTAGTAGCTTTAACCATGATCTCATACTTGTATAAATATAATAAATAATCATTTATATTAACATCTAAATTGTAATCTTAACAAATAAGATGTATACTTAACAAGTAAATAATAAACTTAACAACTAAATTTTAAGCTTAATAACTATGCTATATACTTAACAACTATCGTAAAAACTTAACAATAAATCTGAAACATTAACAACAAACATGTACACTTGATAACTAAGTTGTAAACTTAACAATGGTCATGTAACCTTAGCAAAAACTGTATACTTAACAATTAAGGAGTAAAGTAAACAATTAATACAAAAACAACCTCTAATACAAACTTAAAAAATAAAGTTGTTTTATCATCTTAATCAGTCATAAGCCTCATCATCACTGGATAGGTTCAATTGTGCTCTCTCTTTACTATGTCATGCTTTGCTGTAATTAATCTTGATGCCAAACTGTGATAATAAGTCGTTATTGACATCAATTGATCGAAGATCTAACCTAACCTTCAGAACAGATTGTATTTGAGTTGAAATAAATTAGGGCGATGCTCTTCATTTACCAATACTAGCTCCATGTTGACCGCAAATGTGAGTAGCATGGAATTTCTTTATAGCCATAATCGAGTGATTTTGGAGTGGGGAAGCAAACAACATTTGAGGGCATTTCCACATGTCCTTATATCGGCAATGTATTCTTATACATTTTTGTATGGTATGAATCATACTCAAACCTTTTTACAATTGAATAGTATTGAAGTGCTAATATAACTTCAGCAACACTATGAAATTTATGTTTTTTCTTCACGTATGGTTGTGTGACACTTAGCTGGGATATTGGTCTGGCTGATAATCATGTCATCAATCATCATGATAATGTCGCTAGTATGATTATAGTTAGGAATATGCTCATCATTACATGATTGACTGAGCATAACAGCTATGCATTGGGAATTTACCGTCGGGGTTATCATGTAAAAGTGAGAAGACACTTAAATACTTAACAATTAGCTACAGACATTAACAACTAACTACTAACATTAATAACAAACTCATAAGGTTTACAACCAAACACTTAACAACCAACACAAAACCTTAGCATCTAATCATTAAGGCCAACAACCAACTCATATGGTCAACAATCAACTCATAAAGTTAACAACCAACTCAAAACCTTAACAACTAATAATTAAGGTTAACAATCAACTTATAACCTTAACAACTAATAGTTAAAGGAAAGGACAAACTTTTATGGTTAACAACAAACTCAAAACATTAACAACTAACTTATAAGGTTAACAACCGACCGATAACCTTCAACGTCTAGTTACTATAAT